CCCGCGCGGGATGCAGCCGCCGCCGCCCCCGGCCGGCCTGCCCCAGATCATCCAGAAGTAAGAGCGGGCGAGGGGGCGCGGCGGGGCGACCCTGGGCGGCTGCGGCTCCGCCCGCTCCACCTCGCCGGGCCCTTGCGGTCCAAGTTTTCTTGTCTGCTCTCCGGGCAGCCGCGGCCGACCTGGCTGCTGTGGGGTTGGGGAGGGAGAGCCGAGTTATTTGGGCGAAATGGTTTGCTTCTCCGCATCCCCTTCCTTTTCTCTTAGGGGTGTTACTTGGATGCTTTGAATAAATAGCTCACACTTGGGGGGAATGGCCCAGACAGTCTTTTTCGTCTTTGTGGTCCTCAGAGGCCCCTGGAGGGTCTGGGGCGCCGGGCGTGAGTGTGCGCGAGTGTGGGGGTGTTCAAGCGACCCGTGTGCTGGACTGACCAGCAGCTTGGGGGTGAAAGAAGAAACAAGGGCTTGTGCGGGACGCACGCGGCTGGCCTTGCCCCTAGGTGTAGACGCTTTGCAAGGAGGCCCTGTGAAGAGGTCTCAGTGGCGCAAGCCTTTTGCACCAGTGTTACCATCTGTGATTCCACTCAACGTGTGACAAGGGTCGTGCATTCAGGCTGTCTTGCGCCAGGGGGAAGGGTGGGCCGCTGTAGGCCCCTGAGGCTCTTCCGCCCATTGGGGGACGTGACAACAAAACGGTGATTTTTTTTTTTTTTTCATTCTGTAAGTTTTTGACAGTTTGCGGCCTAGAATGTTGGTTTATTTGGAAGACCTTGATTCATCTAATGGCTTTTGAGCAGCTTGTGACGAAGTCCGCTGTACTAGTTGAAGAAATGTAGGGAAGTAAGTATAGTTGGAGCTTTTCAGCATAACTAACCGAAACTAGAGAATAGATTCGCAAGTACAACGAGATCTGGTCGTGGACAGAGTGTGGTAAATGCTGCTGCGTTGATGCTGGGATTATGTAAACTGACTAAAATGTCCTAAGAGAAATCAACGGCGAGGGTGTGTACATGGAAGGAAATAGCGGTTAAATGCTTCTGGCCTTATAAACTTAGGTAATAGAAAATTTAAGTTTGATACCAATATACTGGTTTCATATTTCAGAACAAAATGGTTCCCTATTTATTGAGTAGTGGAATATTAAAGGTCGCTATCTTTAAAAATTTCATGTTGTATATAACTTTCAACTGCTAACGGTTTCTATTTGAAAATGCATTGTTTCATATTTTTTCAGTATTTCATATTTGCTTTGCAAATTATTTCGGATCATACTGAATAGCAATGACAGCTTATGTGAGTCATTATTTAAAATTTCTCCGCAGTGTTTAACACAAATAGAAATGAACAGAGAAAAACTATTTAAAACCTAGAGATTACTTACTAGAGAATCCAGTTCAGCCAGTTGTTAATTCAGAGACATCGGTTGTGTTTCTCACTGAGCCAGTGTTTTATGCTTAAACTGCACATTAAGCTTCTCAGCATTACTTTGGCATCAGCATCCCTGAATTTTTCGATAATTTATTTTTAAGCGAAGAAAAGTAGAAACTTTCTGTTTGCAGAAAAAAATCTTCGTAGATGAGTGTCCGATTATAAAGAGCCGCCAGGTAGGACTAAATGCCATTTTGTGGAAATGGATTATTTAAGGTGCACTTTACCTCGTGTGCTTAATAAATTATGCTGTGAGTTTACACCCCCCTGTTGAAACTTCCATCCCCAGGGTGTCTAATTTTAAAAGGCTGGACCTCACTTTTCAAAGATGGCTCCTTCTGCTTGCGCTGCAGGACGGGGACCTTGCAGAGCACTTAGCGGCTCTGTCTTGTTTTGCGTTGGTGACAGATCCAGGGTTCCAGGCCCGGCTCCAAGGCTGTAAATGTGCCCGTGGGATTTGATGTTCAGGCGCTTAGGGTTTCAGAGCCTTTATAAGGATGACTTGGGTTTGCGCTTGCCTTGGTTCCCGCTGATACTCCGCTGGAGGGAGGCGCCACGTGGCAAGCGCTTTGCAGCTCCATCTTTAATGCGCTGAAACTCGAGTAGGTTATTTTGAAACTACGTTTGCATAATTTAATCGGAGCGACCATTTCTGTGTGGCCAGGAGATACTCTTTGCACCAGCCATGTTTGAGAAAAAGTAGCGGGAAAACGGTCCTCCGCCACAGCGTGAACGTTCACCTTGGCATTTGGGGACTTTCGGGAGCCCACGTTTTGGGTGAAATTTTCTTCTTGTAAAATACATATTAGATATTATTAGGAGGCCTCTAATCTTTCTAGTCATTTCACTGAGGTCCTTATGTAACTGGTAAGAGGATAAGCTCTGATCTCTCTCAAAATGATGACCATCGCAACTTCAGTTGCATAGTACTTCAGGGTTGTGAGCCTCTTGGCTTCTTAAAGTTTGTGGTTACTGAATTGTATCAGGAATGGCTTCAGGTGAAATCAGTTACTTTTGTAAAGCCACTAGCGATTGCAGTAAAGGTGGAGTTCTGCCCACGTGTGTCAGATTTGGTCCTAAGAGAACAGCGATGTAGTACGCGTAAGCAGACGCGTAAGCAGCTGAACACGTGAGGCGTGTTACAGAGCGGATTACTAATCGTGGTGAAAAGTAACCGAGTGTGTGCGTCTTTCACGGCTAGCGGTGAGACTGACTGCTGTTGGAGGTCAGTTGCAGTACTTAAAAGGCTGCATTTAAAGTTAGTTTCTGAGGAGTAGTTTCGTTTTAATCAGTAATAGTGGTCTTATCGTTGTTTTCTTAGCTTCAGTTAAGAACTATCCATGTTATTTCTGCCCTAGTGTGCCCTTGACCCCTGTAATGGGAGTGTTACCTGTAGACTATCAACAGGCTACATTTAGTTGTCAATAAATGTAACAACTATCTTGTGATCTTCTGCTTAAATGTGCCAATGCGGAGATATTCTTATGAAATGTTATTTAAATTCTTTGTGCAGCAAAAAATATAAATAGCACCTCAAGAAGATATTTGGGGTAAGGTTAGGAAATCAGAAAATTTATATATATAGAATATTAAATAAATTTTTCCCATACTACTAGAAGACAACATTGGTGATAGTGAATGCTTTATAATTATTGATCTCAAACATTCATATTTTACTTCCAAAATTGTTTGGTTTTAATTATGTGCTTTACAGTCCTCAGCCCTTGACTTCTCAGATATTTTTATTGCTCTTAGTGAACATCAGACTATTAAATTTTAGGTTACAAGTTTTAAAGCTCTCACCAGAGTGAAAATAGTCACCTGATTCAGAGTGAAATGTTGAATCCCAGCGGATGGGGTTACAGTCTATTACTAATCATGGTGAAAAGTAACCAAGTGCACACGTCTTTCACGAAGCGACTCTCACAGTGATTTTCCTAAATTATGTGATTAGTGGCAAGATATTCCTAATGTCTGCCATCAGGTCGCACATTTGAGTGTACGTGACTTCTTTGTTCCTTTCCAGATGATTTTTAGGATCAAACAAAACCAATTATAAAAACAGAATAAATTTTAGTTGAGCATTTGCTAGCTAGTGTCGCTTACGTGGAATTGGTGGTGGTTTATGAAGACAGACCCAGTTCTGATTTCTAGGTTAGAGTCTTCTGCATAACATTAGAACTACGGCTCTTCCTAAGGAGAAAGCGCTCCCCTGACTAAGAATAGAAAATGTTACGAATAGTAGCTGTGCAGATAATTTTACAGACATTCTGCGTTTGATGGGACCTGCATTTAACCGTGAGGGTGTGATTTGCAGGCAAGTTGTATGGGATGTCCACCCACTTTGATGAGCGTGCGGACGATTATATCCAGGACGAGGGGAGGAAATAAGAACTTGCTAAAAGGGGACATTGCCTCGTGTTCGTATTTGGTCCTTTTCTGGAAAGAGGATGGAATTTCTAATGTCAGAGCCAGTTCTAGCATCAGTGTTATCCTGGCCTTGAGGAGAAATTGGAATATACTTGTAGATGGAATTTTGAAAATTTTAAGCAGCACCTTATACTTCATACAAGATAAGCATTCGGCAGGGAAACCCATGAGAGGATTAAGCATTTACCCAAACAGAAGGAGAGAAGGTGGCCTCTTAACATTCTGCAAAGTTACTTTTGCTTCTCTAGAAAATCCCTGAAAGGTACTTTTTTAAAAAAAGAACATTCTACTGAAGAGTTTTTTCATAGGAAGTATTTTTACGTATAACCATGTAGTTATGAGTTTTCTCAAATGGCCCAAGAGATCAGTATTATGAAATGTAGTACATTATTCCCATTCGTCACAGCCAGCGACTACATATGGTGCGTGGAGCGGCTTGAATGCCAGCACTGAGGAAAAAGGAAGAAAAGTTTGGTCACCATTTTTATTCTTCTGTCTGCTTCTTGTTTTGCAACTTCTCAGCAGTTTATCAAATTGATCATTTCAAAAGCCTAACTCTGCCGTGGGGAATATGAACTCTCATCTGGAGGATCTCTTTGCCTGTCCTAATGGTCATTAGGGAGGAAAAACCCCAACGAGGATTGACTCACAGCGAAATGATCCTGTGTTATCCAATTTCTCTCTCCCCCTGATTTATTTTTCTTGTGGCATACATTCTTGAGTCCAGTTTAAACTACTATTTCTCCACTGCCCATACAGCCAATCCTCAGGTAAACAGACTGGTGTAGCTTGAGCCACAGCTTTGATAAATGCAAATGCACAACGAACGGTTTGGGAATGGAGTTTTCACCAAAGGGTAGAAATTAAAATAAACTGAAGTAAGTGTGGAAATTAAGAATGGAAGACACACAAGACAGAGGAGCTGAAAGCCTCAAAAGGAATTTGAAGTGGGATCCCACCCTCCTCTCTCAGTCCTGGTTCCCTTTCCTGCTGGAAGCTGGGCATTTTTCTTGAACACAAAATACCATTTCATCAGATTTCTATTTCCTGCCGCAGCAGTGATCTGATTGATATTATTTTGTGTATTTTAACAGCGAAAGTTGCTGTGGATCCACAGAGGTACAATGGGCCAATAGCCCAGTTGAGAATAGACTGTTGAAAATTTTGCAGAAAATAAAGTGACCTATAGCCTAGAATTAGAG